AGGCCTCACCTTAGACCTGGAGAGGTTATGCAAAGAATACTCACCTTAAGCCTGAAGAGGCTATGCAAAAAATACACATTCAAGACCTGGAGAGGCTATGCTAAGAATACTCACCTTAGGCCTAGAAAGGCTATGCAAAGAATACCCACCTTAGGCCTGGAAAGGCTAGTAAAGAATACTCACCGAGCTTGGAGAAGCTAAAAAAAGATGAACTCATTCCCCATCAAGCTTGGAAAATCTTGATGGAAGGAACTCATTCGCTCAACTACAAGACATTAACGAATCTTGTCGAGCATCAACACCTACACCGGCCTAGAGAAGTGGCAAAGGATACTCGTCCCCCACTTATCTACATGAAAACGAGAAGTTGAAGACTCAAACAAAACGTCTACGTCTTTACTTGCCTTGGAAAATTCAATCGTAGTATCTTGCTACCCAAAGGACAAGTAAAAAGGGGCAATCGTAGACACCAAATTTTGTCCAGGATTTTCCTACAAGGGTCAAGAGACTTCTGAAACAAGAAGAGCAACCCCTAAGGGCCAAGGGAGGCACGAAAGCGGGCCAAGAAGAAGCACAAGATGTCTGGGAGGCATTTATGCACAAAAAAGGGTCAAAACCCTAATCCTAGGTTTGGAACGATCGTTCCCAAAGGTGGTGCGATCGTTCCCCCTTTGTAGCAAACATGACTCTGCACGGCCATTCCACTTGACCTAATTATGTGTCAAATTGAGGCACAAAACAGTCGTTCTAGTGTTGGGAACACGCCTTTGTGTTGATTTACAAGAAGAGTTATAAAAAGCTTGTTGTGGAGGTTTCCAATTCTTCTCTTTTATTTACTACTTTGTTCATCGTTTTTTCCTGTATGCATAGAATAGGCACCATGTAGATAATGAAAGTGGTGCGTATATTATAGACTAAGATAATGTAGAGATAAACTATTATATTTTTAATAAAATAAAAGGGGTAGAAATTTAATTATGTTGTTATTATGCTAAATTTGTCATAGGGTACTGAATTAGGCGTTGTAGGATGCCTAATATTTTTCTTGCACGTAACCGACCCCGAAACCGGACTCTGGCTATGAAGGCCAAAGTTGACATTTTGAAAACATTTTCTTTTTTCGATGTTTTGTGTAAAATATCAGTGTTGACTCATTCAAACTCTTTTCAAAACCATCAGATGGAGGGTTAGTCCGATTTTCAGACACTCCAAAACTGATGAGATTTTCAAATCAGAGCTCCAAACCATCTATTGGCAAGCTTGGAATTTTGTGGGTTTCGACAATGATCAAGATGATAAAAAGACTATACAAACTTCAAGGTATGTTTGTATGTTGAGTTCAGTGGATGTTTCATGGTTTTCAAAGAAACAACCAATTGTCACTTTATATCGACAACTGAAGTGGAATTTGTTGTTGAAACTATATGTTGTCAAGCAATATGACCGAAGAATCTATTTTAAGAACTTCATTTTGAAAGACAATGGCCTCTTATAATTTTTTTGTGATAATAATTCAACAATCAAACTCTCCAAAAATCCTATTTTACATGAAAGAGGCTTGTACATTGATGTAAAATTTCATTCCTTAAAAGCATCTTAATGTGAAACTTGACCTCATTTATGATATAAGTGAAGATCGTATTGTACATATATTTACCAAACTTCTCAAATGATTTGTGTTTCAAAAGCTAAGGAAATTGTTTGGTATTTGCAAGACCGAGAATCTAGTTTGACGGGTTGTTCTTTTTGTCAAAATGATATGATTTATCAATTGTTGTGACATGGTCTGACCAAGTCCTATAGTTATTTTTATTTTATTCCTTGTTATAAGCAACTTATTAATTGTTATGGTGGGTGGTAAAGTTCACATCTTAAATTTATTCCTATTTTTATATAATTGGTTATTAATAATAGAGTAGTGTTGATATATAAGAATGATATTATATTGTCTATAAATAAGCTTGAATAAATAAAGAATAATAAAGTAAATACACTTTTAGTATATCTCTTTCCCTTCTTTTATGTTGCAAC